TTTCTTCTTTAGGTAGACGTTGTTAAACAATTGTCTACGCGTCATCAAAATCAAAAACTTCTCTATTCATTAAAGAGAATATAAATGCCTCAGTGTTTATCATTTAAATTAAATATTTGTTAAACTACCGAAGTAGCTACGAACACACCCTTTTTAAAGCTCTCTTTAGAAGGCTCGTAAGAGAGCCTTTTTTCAGGAAATGAACTACGTAAAACGTTACTTATTAATTAATATTTTGGCTGTGTCTTATATAACAAGGGAAAGTATCGGAACTGTGTTAAATTTCGCAATCCGATTTTTTGCAAATTTCACGTCTTCGGATTTCCCTGGACCCAAAACAATTAAAACTACAGGTAAAAATTTGCGTGGACACGTGCGTTTGTGTGTTGGCGTCTATTACGTTTAATATGTGAGGATGGGGTAGAGATTTAGAAACTAAATTTAGCACGGTCATTTGTATGTAACGGGTATCGATGCTATTGATTTCTGGTGGTAAAATTTCGATGGAGTAGAGAAATACATGGATGGGGTCTGAGTTCATAAAAATTTTTTGGCATTTCTAATATTTGAAAAAACTTATCCCTACTTTATAATTAAGCCATTTACCTTTTTATTAAAATTAGTAATATAAAAGTTACTTTTTAAAAATATCTCATTGCTGAATGCCCGACATCCACCTTTAAACTTTGCTGATGTGTGTTAAACAAATATTACACGCATACTTCTGTTTAACTAATCTATGATCATATTCGAACTAATATTATATTAGCCTAATAATTTACTTACAAACGAGAAGTATGATTTTGATTTTGCATAAGTTATTCGTCCAAGCTTGATTGATTAAATGGGCGGATGTCAGCGAGTTATAATCTATTCTTCTGTACATCACAAATTTATGTTTCCTATACGTTACAACTGGTATATAGGAGTTTTATACATGACGTATATTTATTTAGGAAGGTAAAACTCTCTCGGTGAAACTCCAAATAAATTCTACGCTTCGTCAAGAAAATCGAGAGCCCCAGGACGAACACGCACGATATAAAATCTTATGCACTGGTACACGATGACCTATCGACACCTATATTTAACGATGCTCTGCTGTAAGTCGATGTCCCCTCACAATTAAAAACGAAACAATGGACTTTTATAAATGTTTATGACACGTGTTTTAATAATAGCACCGATAGTAAATCTGCCTGTGCAAGGTTATTTGGTGCGCGAGGTGAAGAAAGACGATATACTTTGCACGCTTTTATGAAAACTAATACCAATCAGCGTACAGTATTATTAGTTTGTATTATCGGCGTATTATTAATAATGTAATATTTTCCTCGTAAACCTTGTACAGAAATATAAAAAATATAATAATTCTTACGTATATTTATTCGAGTTGCCTCACTTTTTCGACAAAAAATTTAAATCTGTGTTAGATTAGCGAACAATTTCATTTTAAAAACTTGCAATTGTTAATAACAAGTAAAATCATCAAAATGTATACGAACACACTCGAGATTCGACGCGCGACCCTCCTTTCTCACCACCAAAGTTTAAAACCGTCAATTCTTCTCATATACAAAACTTCACAGATGATCAACAAAAGATATAGGAGTTACTGAGCTTGAAAGGGGGTAAATATTTGATAAAATTGTGTACTCCAAACACTAATATTCACACATACAGAAAAAGTTTCCCTAAATAATTTGTATTTTTCGAATTTTTAATGATCCACGAATCCAAAATAACAACATATTATGGGGAATTTTTGGCCGATCGCCATACTTTCTGTTAGAATACACGGAAGAGTATAGTTTCTCTTAAAGACCTTACATCAAGAACAATTATATAAACAGAAAAAATTTTATTGCGAAGAAGTAAACAGAGTTTACACGAAGTTGTACAAGTCGCGATGACGCCATGAACTGCTCCGTATACACTCATATCCGGAAAAAACTTCATTCGTACAGCACTGATTATTTACGAAATTAAAATAACAGAAAAAATTAATTTAAAAAGTTTCCATCTATTTGTAATTTCTATACAAAATGCATTTTATTTTCCTTACTTTAAACAATTCACAGAACTTTCTTTCCTTTCGGGAAAACGTTTTATTGATATCCGACGTAATGATGATAAATATCGTATTGTTCACTTTCTGCCCCTTTTCCAAACCCCCTACACTCACGATATTTAAGGTTCGTAAATATTAAAACTTTAAAAATTTCTATTACTTTTTATCATATTTATTTATCCGGAAACAGTCTTACAGTTTATTGTGAAAGGCTGTCGACGAGAATTCGCAGTAAATTTGCATTGGGAATTGTCTACTCGTTTTAAATTTCAACGTTACTTTTCCCGATAATTCTGTATTTGAATTTACCGACTGTTATTATCAAAGTTTAACACGTTTAATTTGTATTTATGCGGAATTGGAGAGTGAACTGAAACTGAGAGTCGCGATCTGTACGGTTAAAAAAGTATTTGCGAACGATGCTCGAATCCATAAAATAATGTTATTTGTCGGTAAAAAGAAAAGAACAATGACGCGATTAATCATACATTATATAACAAAATCAAAAGTTTTCGACTTCCTTGTTGCAATTTTCCAAAGTAGAATGAAATGCTTCTCTAGGTCTTATAGCAACAGTTCCCAACCTTTTTCGAGTGGCGACCCCCTTTTTATAAAAGCCAAGTGACCCGCGACCTCGATACAATTGAAAAAGGTATTTTTAATAAGGTAATTAAAAAGACAATGAAATTAGTTTTTTTGTATAATTTTACTTTAAATTATGTTTAATAATTAATTTAATGAGATGGTTGAAATTGCATGTATTATTAACCAGCCTCAAAATTCGCGGGTGAGATTTTGTTAACGCCAACCTCATGTCATTCTCAACATTTAATTTATTCCTCTCAAAACTCTCAACACATGTTTCAACCAACTGTAACAGAATAGCCTACCCAGATTACACTTATTTTATTTTTTTAAAAATATATGAAATTATTCAAACTTCAAGACACCATTAAAAATAAATATTGCATTATAGTGAAAATTTTGTTTTAGTTTACTGCATAAGTTGGCGACTCCACAGAAAACCCGTCGCGACCCATAGGTTGGGAACCCGTGTCCTATAGGTTATAGGAAGATACTGTATAGGATTTTCCATAAACAATTTGCAGAATACGGAAGTGGTGTCGAGGACCGAGATCGTTTTACCAGAGTTTTTACACAAATCTCTCATCGACTACGTAATCGAAACATAAGTTTATAACCTTTCGTTTCTGTTCTATTACACAACTTTTCCAATTATGACGTGTACTTTATTTTATAAAATGGAATTAATTTCTTTTTGTTTTCAAATTATTCCTGATAAATATTCAAGAATTTAGAACTTTTGCTTCGGATTATTCGAACAGTTGCAGAGTTTTCACTCTTCATTACAGTCACTCGTTAATTCGGGTTAATTTTTCCTGTTTTGTCAGAATTATAAAAATATTTTTAAAAGAAAACGAATTTTCTCATATTTATTCTAATAAATTATATCGGGCTGTCTATTGAAGAGAAATAGGCTTTTGTAAACTGAAACAATTGCACATTCCATTCGGCTCTGTCATTTTTAATTTGTGTTAAAATTAACAGTCAGTGTATAGAGTGTTATTGTTGTTTTTCCATAATAATAAAGTAAAAAACGTTATCGGACTAATTCTAGTAATTGTCTCATCTAACATCCAAAAAGAATACAAATAAGAGTTTTTCAATAGTAAACAGTGGAGTTGCGAGCTGAGAGAGTTACGTGCATCGTGCTGTTCACTAGAACAATGGTTCCCAATTAGTGGTACGGGTACCCCTGGGGGTACGCGCGGCAATCTAAAATCGGTCGATTTAAAATTTAAATGCATGAGATGAAGCAATCAAAAAAATAATGGGTGGACCATCAAAAATTCGGCAATTTATAATACGATGTCGAATGTACAAATTCGTTTATTTATAACTAAAAATATTCTCGAAATTTCATCAAAAAATGCATTTGTGACAATACCTAAATGAAATTCTTACGCGAGAAACAAAATAATACATAAACGAGAAAAATAAACACAATTTGTGTTAATTGTACAATTATCATCACTATCGTGTCAGCGAAGCGGCAATAAAATATTTTCTACCATTTTGCACAACATACGTCTGCGAGAGCGGATTTTCGGCCGTGACAAACACGAAAACTAAATATCGTCACCGACTGCATTTGGGACTGTCTGGCCATTTTCAATGGAATTTTATATCCTCCGCAAAAAAACAGCTTGATATCAATCGTTAACATTGCAATTAAACTTTCAATGAGAAATAATTTAGTTTACAATTATCAATATAATATGACGATATTACTTCGTTTACTTCACAAGAAGTATTAAAGTACAATTATAGTATATAGACAGACACCTGCTCAATTAACCAAATTACAATTGAAATAAGAGAGAAAACCCGGGAAAATAGTTCTTGTTTCTTCTTTGTAGTAAAAATTATCCTCTTTTCCTCTATTCCCGTAACATTTCTTTTAATATATGATATGTAGGCTCACTTCCCGTATTCCATTTTTAGTTTTCTTCTAGATCGTTTTAATTATTAATGCCTTTTTTGTTCCGTACAACAATATTTGTTATTCTCATTTCATATACGTTTTTGTCTCTATCGTACTGTGGCCTTACACAGTAAAACACAAAAATACGACACGTACAGTACTTACCTTTAATTACACTAATTAAGTACCCAGAGGTATGGTTTATTTGAAATCCAAAATACATTTGTTCATTAATATTTAAAACTTCAATAATAAAATATATGGGAATAATTTCAAATTGGAATTCCTTTTTTTCTCTCTCTTTTTTAAATAGTTTTATAAACCATTTGTATGTACCCAGAGGTATGGTTTATTTGAAATCCAAAATACATTTGTTCATTAATATTTAAAACTTGAATAATAAAATATATGGGAATAATTTCAAATTGGAATTCCTTTTTTTCTCTCTCTTTTTTAAATAGTTTTATAAACCATTTGTATGTAGAATTGAAAACACTAAAGTTTTTTCTTTTATGGTAAATCTATTGCAGCTCTGTATCCTCCAAGAAAATGACTTGGTTTACAAGAATACACAACTGGTCATAATTATTAAAATTATTAAGCTAAAGAATGAGTTATTGTTCACATAAATATTCTCCTAATAAGGCAACATTATATTAGCATTCTTTATAAATAGTAGCAATACTGATATTGTAAAATGTGTGAGCATTTCTGAAATAAATTTGATTTTTTTACAGCATTTGATGTCAGATCTAGCACAAAACATCGCTAAGTCCATCATAATATCAATTCATACTTAAAAATGACAAGAAATTGCATATCTGGAGATTGGTATCTTTCCACTCTCCAATTATTGCATAAGAAAGATGTTTTATGGAAATCACAGCAAATAATGATATAGAACAGATAAAGAAATATGGCAAAACCCATGTGCATAGGTTTGTAGATAAACAAAAAAAAAATGGAAGACTACAATAAAATAACATTTGACAACAAACACTCGTTCTTGCCTCCACATTTTTTACATGAAAAATAATGTTAACTCTGTTTTATAATAAACATTGAAAAATATAGCATAAAATAACATTTGTTCCTACATATACAAACAACATAAATATATTAAAAATAACCATTACTAAACAATATTAAAATAATACTAAAATCTATAATAGTTTACATTTTCAAGCATAGAAGCCCCCATACAAATCACAACAGTGAATATATGTAGGAACTGACTAAAACATGAATAGAATATTTTTAAAAAGCAACTTTTATTTAAGATTTAAAACAGCAACCAAGCTATGTGCATTTTGGTAATCACTACATTTGTCAAAAATTTGTTTAGTAAGAAGTATATATATATAATTTTTTTTACTTATAAATTTTACATCAAAGAATAAAATCATCTGTACTTTTTTTAATACTTTTAGATATTTTTTATAATAATGTTGAAAAGTCTTTAAAGACTATTTCTAAGTCAAGCCATATTGCGGTATGTTCTCTAATAGGAAAAAGTCTAAACTGGTCATGTGATAATGAATCAAAGAAGTGATATAATCACAGACTAATTAATAACTATATAAAAAAAGGTGCCTTATGCACAAATTTTAAGAATAGATTCTGATAGCCTGAGATGCTAACTGACGACATACTGGACATTCTGAGCCTGGCTTTTCACAGATACGATTGGCACATTCGAGACAAAACATATTGTGACCACAGGGAACGAGTGCTGCCACTACTTCACTTTCGTAGCATACAACACAGTCTCTCTTTATTTTTCTTCCTTCAGTAGGACTGCTTGCGTTGCTATCAGAACTACCACTAGAATTTGTAGGAAAACTATTGATAAGAATTTCATTTGTGCCCACGGATGTTCCATTTGAAAGTGATGGAAAAGAAGATATGCTGCCATTCATTGCATCGGTGTGGATGCGAGAAGCGTCTTCACAACTCTGAATTGTAGCTGGATCACTGCAATGATTCAAGTTACTAAATGTTGTGCTAGTGCTTGTAGAAGCTGCTGTGCTGAATAATGTGTCTGGAGAAGTATCAAATTCTGACCAAGCTGTACTAGAAGATATGGTAACAACAGAGTCATAATTATGAGATTCGTCAGTATCATAAAAACCAAAATTATTTGTAAAACCATTTGCAAATACCGAATGGGAATATATATCTGTTAACTTCACAGATTCATTGGAAGATGGAGGTGTAAAAGAATATAAGTCTGGGAAATGTTCCGAAAGAATATTATTGCTGTCATAGGTAAAACCGGAATTTAATTCTGATACAGAATTAATAAATCCATTTGCCGCATTCATATTTACTGTGAACGAGTAATCGACGTCATTAACACAAATATCCTTTAAGTCTTGTGAATCTAGCATTCCACCTGTAACCATGGCAATGTGAGCTTCAATTTCTTTTCTTGCATTTTCAACATTATCAGGCATCCCTGTAACTTCAAACACAGGTTCTTTGTATCTGCCTGGAGTTACAATGTATGTATTGGTCTGTTGCTGAATCCTTTTGATTGTAGCACCCTTTGGACCCACTACTAAGCCAACCACACGATAAGGAACTCTTACTTGGATCGTTTCTTGACCCGGAAGATTAGAATTGGGCCCAGGAACAAGCGAACCGTTCATATTATTTTTACGTTGCGCTCGAATCTGACTAAAATGCTCAGCAGCCGAAAGAATCTCTTTCTTAGCTGCCGCCACGTCTTCCTTTTTTCCCGTAACGACAAACACCGGTTCTTCACCTCGTACAGGAGTTTTTATGTAAGTATTTGTCTTGGCACGTAAAGCTTTTATTTTGCAACCTTGTCTTCCTACAATCTCGGCCACATGTTCCGAACTGGGTACAGGTACACATTCCGTCGTGTTCTGACTCTTCTTGTTGCGAACTTCGACGTNTGGCACGTAAAGCTTTTATTTTGCAACCTTGTCTTCCTACAATCTCGGCCACATGTTCCGAACTGGGTACAGGTACACATTCCGTCGTGTTCTGACTCTTCTTGTTGCGAACTTCGACGTCGAAGCCATTACCTATTGCGGATATGTCATTATCCGCCGTTAAACCGAGCAGAGACAGTTCTAACGCCAACTGTAAGGCTCTCTGTTCTTCTACACCTCCCCCGTGATGATCCATATCGGTAAACAGACTAGCAGGCATCACAGGACGTAATTATAAAATGAAATTAAAAAACTTTTTAAATGTATAAAAATAAAGACAAATAAATTTTTTTTCTTTTCTTCTTTTCCTTTATAACACCAAACTAATCTACAAACGGGATCCGCAGCCGTGCCGCAAACCAGCACAGCTTCCGCGCCGCACTGCTCCAAAATTATCATCCCTCGGCCCGGGATATACTTGTGTCGTCACAGTGACGACGGATCCTCCGCTCATTGGTCATTTTAACACCGGCCTCGCTTCTATTGGTTATCGGCTCTGATTAGCCGGCGGATGGATTTTAATTGGTTCTTGTTTTTTTTCCTTAGGGTGGAGTTGGCGTTTGCGGAAAAATTGAAATTGATTTGTTAGCGTTCGACTCGAAACGTGGTCGCTTTTTTATCTTATTTTATTTATTTATTACCGTTCTTTCTTTAATTATAAATTAAATAAGTTGCGAATGATTTTTATCTCGGCTCCGTCTCGTTAAGGATGAAAGTTTTTTTTAATTAATTGAACAATTTACCATTTTTTAAAATAATTAGGTGATTTGCGAATAAGAAGGGTTTTTTAAAAGTTGGCCATTAAAGGAAAGAATTTTTTAGTTTTTGTGAGAGAAAATGGATGTTCTGTGTTTACAAGCGTTTAGACACTGAACAGATTTGTTTTAAAACATTAAAATCTTTATGGTACTTTTAAATCGTTAAGATTGCATTTTTAGATAAATTTAATTATAAAACTCGTTCGGTAAATAACAAAATTGTCAGATCGCTGTATAAAATCTAAACAATATGCTGATAAAGTCTTTGTTTTACTTCGAAAAGTTTTCATTTTTAAAATGAGTAAATACGTACTAGAAGATATGGTAACAACAGAGTCATAATTATGNATAATAAGAATTAGAAAAAAAAAACAAAACAGTAAAAAGCACTTTAAATATTTATTTCTAGTTCATTACAACAGCTGTTGAAAATTCTTCAGCTTTCAGAATAAGGGCTGCACTATTTCATATTTATATCGTGGGATAGAATAATTTATAAAATGTATCACAAATATAAAAATACTTTAAAAAGGTTATATTGAAAAACGAATTTCATTGTTAATTTAAATAAAACGTATTACAAGAGTTGCAAACTATTATTAATAATACAATTACTATTACTTCTATCTACTCCTGAGGATTTACTGTATACAGTACTTACCGTATAATTAGGGCTGAAAAAATTTAAACTTTTCCTCTTGGATTTCAAATAGATACATTTTTGAATAATTCTGTCGATCACAGAAATAATTATTGGAACAAATGTAGGTCCACGAATTCCGGCAATTACACGGGCTAAAATAATCACTTTTTTAGCCTTCTTACTATGTACTGTACTTGACATTTACGATGACTTTCCTGGCTGACTTTGTTATATATAACAGAGGGAAAGTACGACGGTTGGTCGAAAGATGATGCGCAGATTTATGGGAACCCGGGGCAAAATGGAGTAGCTAACGAAGATGTTAAAAGTATGTCAACAATAAAAGAAAAATAATAAAAATATTACATTATATCCTTTAGTTATTATATTTGGCACATAATTATTTAAATTAGATTTTTAAAACACCAATAATTTCGTATGAAAAATAAATTATTAAAAAAAAGCTTGCCCACATCTCGTTCCGTCCCGCACTCGGGGCAGAATCAGGTATGATATTAAGGCTCAAATATTAGGAGAAAAATATTAGTTTTGTCGCTTATAAAACTCGCAAACCAGCGCGAAATCGTGATCGTCGCTGTCAAAACCCGCGCAAGACATACGAGCCCATTTTTTTCAGAGACACGCGAACGTTAACCATCAACGACTGTAAGCCTGGGTAAAGTAAAGGCAGGTCGTATTTTCTTTTTTCGACTAATAATCCCCTTGTTCTTCTTTTTTACTAGACTTTGCTTTTTCCTTCCCCTTTACCTTTTTCTTTTACTTTTCCCTTACGAGAAACCGTCCCGTTGTGCCCCAAACCACACGCTTCTAAAAATCGAGTAGAGAAAATGTTTACGATTACTTTTTGCGTTATTTCATTCTAAAAATATAAACAAACAAATCTTTAATAAACTAGATTATATAAATTTGGTTAAATTATAAAATACACTATATACTTTTATTGTTTTAATGCCGATACACTTGTAATTTCATTAAAAAAAATCATGGTTTTCTGACTCGAGCGCTCGTAAATAATCATCAATCTAGTAAAACAATTTCGGATAAGAGGAAAGATTTGAAGGATATAAAAACAATCGCGTATGACCGTTAAACTTCCAAGACGACAGAAAACACTAACAACGGGCTAAATTATGAGCGCGAGTCTTGTGGTTTTATCAACAATCTCCGAGCATAATCGACAATAACGTATATATAGACACATCGAAACGGATCTTTCCCGTGATCCGAGTCGGTCTCGGTTGTCACCTAGAACGAAATGAGAGACCAATCGGAAAGGAGGAATGGGAGGAGGGGCCGATCGGAAATACGGATAGCGGGAGAAAACATATAAAAATCGAAATTCGAGGTCGAAGGACAGTCTTCTCTGGATTAAGTCAAAAGTCGTGACTATTGAGTTGTGCTGTGTTATCGCCTAGAACGCCGCGGCATCATATCATTGGCCATCCGCTTCGCCCAGCGATCCCATCTCGTCCGCCCCGGGCTACCACCAAGTTCGAAGTTCTCCGTTTCTCCGGAGGACTTTAAAGAAGTGGAACTATCAAATATTCGATGTAAGCATAAATGTTACAAAATAAACAACTTTTATTTGGAAAACTCTCGTCATTTCTTGCCTCCTCCGCCACAGCCCACACGCAAACTTATATTAAGTTCATCCTGACGCGCGATTAACCGATCCCACCTAAGAGACGGCAACCTTACACTGGTACCGAGGAGTGGGTTTTCGAGTCCCCTATCTCTACCGGTTCGGTTACCTTACATTAGGTAGGTAAAATTTCCTACCGTAACTCCAGAACAATTCGACGCTTCTCAAAGAAAATCGTGAGCTCCACAGACGAACAAGCACGGCATAAAATCTTATGCCCTAGTACAAAATGAGCTATCCACACTTATCTTTAACGGTACACTGTTGTCAGTGTAGTACTACACTCACAACTAAAAACAGAATAATGAGCTTTTCGTATTATTCTGTTTTATAAATGTTAATGACTTGTGCTTTAACATACGTACGTGGGTAGCCTCTGAGGTAGGACGAAGTCGTTCCTCTTTTTGTCGGCAACAGTTTTGTGAAAAATGCCCACGGGTCAGTGGATGGCTTGTCTACGTTTTTCTATCCCGAACAGTCGGGATTCTTTTGTCAGGTCGAGAGGAGGAAGTGAGAGGAGTCGTCGGTAGGGCGTTGGCGATAATCGAGTAAAAAACACTATTTAACAACAAAAGAAGAATTTATTGGACAACAACTTACATAACATAGCTACGTTGAGATTATATCGAGCTTACAAGCGGAAGTGGATGGGTGAGCGCTGAGAGAAAGTTTACAATATTTGTTATCATACCTCCAGGGTTGTGATTACTGACTGACGTGACAGAGACGGACGTCTTTCTCTACAGACGACAACGTAGGACAGTGACGACGGACCGCAATTGCGAACGACGGGCAGGCGATGACGGACCCCCTTCTTCTGTCGTCACCCCTCTTTTATATCTCCAGTCACGTTATCGTTATCGTTTTTCGCCAATAGCAGATTTTTTTCGGTAAGTTTCCTGAGATTCATTCTCGTGTTCCGGAGAGAAAGGATACGGCTCCGGAGAAGGAAATGTGTTCATCCGTTTGTTATAAGGTTTCGACGAGATTCCGAAAAGGAGAAAAAGGGAGGGTTTCTTTCTAAATAAATTGATTCATTGTTTAATTTTAATGTTGTTTTGTTTAATTTTATTCGTTTCGACCCTCACACATAATGAGTATCACGTTTAATAAATAATAAATGTGATTACACAAATAAATGTCCCTCATTTATTTGGTGAGCAGGTTTAGGAAAAGAGTATACTTTGCACGCTTTTATGAAAACTAATACCACTCGGTGTACAGTATTATTAGTTTGTATTATCGGTGTATTATTAAACTAATAGTATAATATTTTTCTTGCGAATCTTGTGAACGAGTAGAAAACTATAAATAGTATAAAAATTCACTACTTTTCTAATAACGTAGGCCTATATTGCTCATCTGTAAGTAGATTATTCGGCACACAAAAACAGTAACATCCACACATATGAAAATAATGAAAACCCACGATTTTCTTTTTTTACATTTTTTTCCTCCAAGTTTCACGGTCTCGGATACAAAAATATAAAAATCTGGGATCATTTGTTTGACCAACCGTCATACTTTCTTTCTGTTATATGTAACAGAGCCAAAAAAGTAATCGTAAAAGCTTTAAGGACTTATCCGGAGATAACTCGGGCAAGTTCCGTAGCGTTACATAAAACTCGGGCGTTTGGACCCTCTGAAAAAATTTTTTTGTTGTATTTTTGGATGTTTTTTGTCTCCAAATTTTTTAAAAATTTTTACCCGCGCGAAAAAATTTTATCGCGATTTNCACTCAAACAAGAGACGAATCGACGAAATTTGAAAATCGCGTAACTTCGGGTTTGTGTAAGTTGAGGTATTACTGTATTACAAAAAATAGCTATTTTTCTGTATTTATCGAGTCATATTATATCTTAATTAATTAATTAAATTTAATTAATGATTTAAACTTAATACATACCAGCTAATTGCACATCTTTGATATCTGGACTTTCATTACTTGTTAAAGCTGCTAATTTACTAAGCGTAACTTCGGGTTTGTGTAAGTTGAGGTATTACTGTATTACAAAAAATAGCTATTTTTCTGTATTTATCGAGTCATATAATATCTTAATTAATTAATTAATTAAAGTTAAACAAAGAAAAACTGCATTTTTCGAAATTTTACGAAAAAGGATATACACATTTCCTTCTCACGGAGCCGTTTCCTATCTCTCAGGAAACCGAAAAATGATTCGTGAGGAACTTATCCTAAAAATCGGCGATTGGCGAAAGCCAGTAACGTGACGAAAGGTATAAAAGAGGGGCGACGACGAGAAAAAGTGGTCCGTCGTCGCCGTCCGTGAACACGGTCCATTAGCACCGTTCGTGATCGCCGAAACTCCGTGCCGATCCTCATCGCCGCCGTCCGTTCCTCGAGACAATTTGTCTGATCCGGATAGAAAATGGCCGACAACGCCTAACGCCAGCCAACTCGTCCACGCCTTACCTCGCCCCAGGGAGACGTTCCTGACCTTGCCGAAGCGACAACCGATCCTAGGAAACGAGTTCGAATCAACCGGAGGTATGACCAATTATTGTAAACTTTCTCTCGGCGCGGTCACTTCGAATTACGCGCGAATAGTTAATCCCTGTATGTTAGGATAGTATGTTGTCTAAATAAATGTTTGTTTTGTCGTTAAAAGTCGTTTTTACTTGGAATATCGCTCGCACTTTACCGACGACCCCTCTCACCTCCTCCACTCGACCTGACAAAAGAATCCGGACTTTCCGGGATAGAAAAACCCATAAACAAGCCATCCACTGACCAGTGGACAGTTCTCACCAAACTGTTGTCTATCAAAAAGAGGTACGACTTCGTCCTACCTCAGGCTACCCACACTAGTATTCACCCTACTTTAAACCCTTGTCCTCCCGAGACGTCTATGAGA